TATATTTTTTTGGAAGAACTATAAAGAAGTGTAATTCTTTTTTTTTGTTTGGTTTTTTTTTTTTTGAGACAGAGTCTCCCTTTGTTGCCCAGGCTAGAGTGAGTGCCGTGGCATCAGCCTAGCTCACAGCAACCTCACACTCCTGAGCTCAAGGAATCCTGCTGCCTCAGCCTCCCAAGTAGCTGGGACTACAGGCATGCATCACCATACCCGGCTAGTTTTTTCTATATATATTAGTTGGCCAATTAATTTCTTTCTGTTTATAGTAGAGACAGGGTCTCGCTCTTGCTCAGGCTGGTTTCGAACTCCTGACCTCGAGCAATCCGCCTGCCTTGGCCTCCCAGAGTGCTAGGATTACAGGCGTGAGCCACCGCGCCCGGCCAGAAGTGTAATTCTTTACAATAGAAATATATCCTTCCTTACATATGAGCATTAGAGTTTATATATTGGGATTGGCTTTCCAGGTATTCAGGTATCCAGAAGTAATAAAATCCATTAAATACCATGGGAAAATTAACTTTGCTTATAAATTGTCTGGTGTGACTGGAAAAGTTTAAGAGTATTTTTATTTGAACTCTTTTCTCTTTGTTTAGTGAATTTGCTTTTTGTTAGAATAATTTTCTCCACATGTGTGGTCATGGTTCATTAATACTTATCAACTAATACTTGCTATATTGTATTTTTGTTTAATATTGGGTTCTTTATACCTGTAACAGTTCATTATATTTACTGAAGCATTGTGTACACTCACTTTGGAAACAGATTTTCTAAGAAATGTTCTATCCATGTCATTTATCTGTGCTTTGAGTTTTCCACCAGTAGAGCTGTTCATTTACTGTCTGCTCTGTAGGGTGGGTGGGGTTTCTGTGGTATCTACTCTTAGCTTGGGCACAGCATTATAAACTCGCTATTACATTACAGGCGTAGGAACACCGTGTGCGGAGCACCCACTTGTCTTTATCATGGCAGTACATTTTAAGGACGGAAGCTGTTCCTTTTAGTTTTATGTTTTTAATTAACCCCATTTTATCAGACTAATAATGACTTTTTTTTTCTAGCCTGACCAAGAAGTTGTTACCATACCGGATCTGGGAAGTCTCTCTTCACCTCTGATAGACACAGAGAGGAATCTGGGCCTGCTCCTTGGGTTACACGCTTCCTACTTAGCAGTGAGCACGCCACTGTCTCCTGTCGAGGTCGAATGTGCCAGTAAGAAAAACCTTATCTTCTGCTAATTGATTAGCAGATTATTTAAGTTGAACCATAAAGTGCCATTAAGAGTAAGAGAGGAATAAGAATCAATGAAGTTGTTTATGACAAAAAATGAGGATAGTGAGACTTAGCCAGTTAGTTAGAAATAGCTGTGAGTGGCTTTCATTTGCTCTCATGGTCTGGGCCGCAGAGGAAGCTAAAGAGTGTATGGGAAGTCTAGAGAATGACTAGTCTTACTTATTGCATCCTCTAACACAGCGGTCCCTGGCCTTTTTGGCATGAGGGACTGTTTCATGGAAAACAATTTTTCCATGGACCAGAGGGGGTAGGGGATGGTTTTGGGATGATTCAAGTGCATTACATTTATTGTGCACTTTATTTCTATTATTATTACATTGTAATACATAATGAAATAATTATACAACTCACCATAGGTTGGGGACCTCTGCTGTAACAGATGGGCTTAGCATGGCTGTCATCTTCCTGCGTGCCCAGAAGTTGCACAGAATATTGATTGGCTGTTCCTATTGGGAAACAGCATTCTGTTTGAGAACAAATGCAAGTCAGTTATATTTTGGAATGGCAACCTTTGTAATAACCTAAAATAATGAAGTTTCTCCATATCCCATACAATGGATTTAAATTTTTCTTCATATAGTTGTACATTTCTCATCTGTCTGTTTATCCATCCATCCAACCAGCATCTGTTGAGTCATTGCTTGTGCTAGTTGCCATGCTGGGAGTTTAGGACGCAGAGACGTATAGGGTGTGCCTCTGCCTTAAGCTGCTGCTGGTTTGATGATGAGCCGGCATTCTAAGCAGATCAGGATACAGGGTGGTAAATGATGAAATGGGGACACTCATAAGTGGTTCTGGGGCAAGAAAGGCTTCACAGTGACAACAGCCCTGGAACTGAGTGTGAGAGCATTCTGGGCAGAAACATGGCAGTGTGAGGGGCACTGCTGAGAGGAGCAGGGGTTTCCAGGGGCAAGCTAGTGAGTGAGGATGGCCTCAGTGCCTACTCGGCCCCCTGTGCTGCAGATGGGCTTCACTGAGTTGGGCAAGGAAGGTAGCACTGGGAAGCTCCAGGGTAGAGGGAGCAGAAAGTGTTTGGGCCCTGGTGGGTGGGGCCTGATCCATGGAGGGATCAGAAGCTTGTCTTTGAGCGATAAGGAGGGGCTCTCCTGTGATTTAAATAGAGAGAGCCAGGGAGAGTTGAGTCAGATTTGTGTTTTAGAAGAATTAATGTGGTGGTTTAGGGAATGCTCCTGAGTGCTCTAAAATCTAAATGTCCAGTAAAAGAACACTAAGTACATTCTAGATATGATTGGTTAGGTTTTGGAGCAATATTTTGATAACACAAGTCATTAATAAAAATCTGTTGTGCTGCACACACTGATTATTTTTTGGTGCCTTTCCTTCAGTTTTCATAAGCAGTTATAAATAACATTCCCATTTGCTCTGATGGATGCCATATTCTTGCCAGACTGGACTGAGCCTATACCACACAGAAGTCTGCTTTCCAGCCTGTTGGATCTCCCATCTCTAAGGATCTATCCTTTAATAAAGATTGTGTGTTGTTAAATATTCTCTTATTCTTGTTACTTTATAAATGCTCTAGGAATATGTAGCCTACCCTGAGGATGTTTTTCTTTGTAGAAACCCTTCAGGTATGCTGTTCCCCTCCCTGGACACGAAGTCTTTTTTTCTTATTCCAGATCTCAGCTCAGTTGTCACCTCCATGACAAGTGCTTTACTGACTTTCAGAATAGCGGTGGTCTTTCTGCTACTTGCTCTTATGTGCCCTGTAGTCCTCTGTTGTATAGTCTGACAGTTGAAATTGAGTGATTTTGGGAGTGGTGCTTTACTGCTGCTCTCCCTGGTAGAATGGGAATCTCAGTCTTCAGACAGTATCTGTGGAACCAGGCATCTCTGTGCAGAGTACAGGGATCCAGTAAATGTTGGGCTAGAACTGTCCTGAGTTGTGATACCATGCTTAAGGCGTGTTGAATAACCAGAAGTGTTAACCTGTGTTAACATAGATAGTGGAATTGTAAGTCAGTTTGTGTAAATATCAGATGTAACTCTTTCATATGAATGATGTTAAATTTTACCTTGCAAATAAGTATTCACTTGAGCATCTTTTTTTCTGTATTTATTCCTGAGTAGTACACTCGAGTTTCTCTTTAATGTTTGCCTGTGCATTTTCTAGAGTGGCTTCAGTCATCCATCTTCTCTGGAGGCCTGCAGACCAGCCAGATCCATTACAGCTACAATGAAGAGAAAGATGAGGACCACTGCAGCTCTCCTGGGGGTACACCTGCCAGCAAATCTCGACTCTGCTCCCACAGACGGGCCTTGGGTGACCATTCCCAGGCATTCCTGCAGGCCATCGCTGACAATAATATCCAGGATCACAATGTGAAGGTGAGCTAGATCTCCCCAATTACCGACTCATTATTCTGTCTAGCTGAGGAGTTTGACATGGGAATACTTACATGCACTTTTATTAATGTAGCACAGACTTTGTTTCACATATTGTTGAGGGGGTTGGTTTTGAGGTGAGAAGCTAGTTTTGTTCAACTTGCCAGTGAGGCTTTAGAAGCATTGTTAATTGCAAGTGTATCAGAAGCTGTGGCATGTTTAGGATTCATGAAAACTCACTGGGTGGCTCTGAAGTTACCTCTAGCCCTTTCTGTTGCAGGACTTTCTGTGTCAAATTGAAAGGTACTGTAGGCAGTGCCACTTGACCACGCCAATCACGTTTCCTCCTGAGCATCCAGTGGAAGAGGTTGGCCGCTTGCTGTTATGTTGCCTCTTAAAACATGAAGATTTAGGTATGGAGCTTGGTATCTGTGTGTATTAGCCATACTGTAGATCCTTTGACTGACATGCCATACATATTCACTCCCACCCTGTTCTTCTTTAATGTGTTTTTACAGGTCATGTGGCATTATCTTTAGTTCATGCAGGTACTCTTAGTATTGAGCAAGTAAAGCACAGAACATTGCCTAAGTCAGTGGTGGATGTTTGTAGAGTCGTCTACCAAGCAAAATGCTCACTCATTAAGGTGAATAGATTTTAATTCTTTTTCTTCTGTGCTGTGCAATTTCTGAGGTTTTTGTTGCTAAGTTGTCTTTTTCTATTTAACTTTGCAGACTCATCAAGAACAGGGCCGTTCTTATAAGGAGGTCTGTGCTCCTGTCATCGAACGTTTGAGATTCCTCTTCAATGAATTGAGACCTGCTGTTTGCAATGACCTCTCCATAATGTCTAAGTTTAAACTGTTAAGTTCTTTGCCCCGTTGGAGGAGAATAGCTCAGAAGATAATTCGAGAACGAAGGAAAAAGAGAGGTAAGAATGTAAAAGAATAGAAAATTAAGTGTGCGCTTAGCCCCATATAGTTGATCTGTGATTTCAGAGTGGAGTTTTGCTACTGTTCATTACATGTGTCGCTTCCACCTACTGTCATAATTTTTTGTGTATTTGTGATTAAATACAGAAATCTTGCTTATTTTTTAAGAAATCAGATAGTGAAGTGACTTAGGAATTGAATGTGTTATGATTTGGTAACTAGCAAATTGATGCTGAAAAAGGTAAACTTTACTAAATTCTTGGGGATTTTTTTTTAAATAAGTTGTCCTATTTATGAGATATATGGGAACATTTCAACTTAAAATTTAATCTTGCCATTTTTTTTTGAAACAGGGTCTTGCTCTTTTGCCTGGGTTAGAGTTCAGTGGCGTAATCATAGCTCACTACAACTTCAGACTCCTGGGCTCAAGTGATCCTTCTGGCTCAGCCTCTTGAGTAGTTGAGACTACAGGCGTTTGCCACCTCACCCAGCTAATCTTTAAATTTTTTTAGAGACAGGGTCTTGTTATTGCCCAGGCTAGTCTCCAACTCCTGGCCTCAAGTGATCTTCCTGCCTTGGCCTCCCAAAGTGCTAGGATTATAGGCATGAGCCACTGCACCCAGCCCCAAAGTAAAGAAATGTTTTTTGTTTGGAAATACTGAGTATTCTGATATGTGGAGAATTATTATAAAAAGGAACTTAAAGAATTACTGATGTTTTCATATAAGTAACTGTGTAAGGGTATAGAAAACACTTTTTGCATTAAGTAATCAAAATTTAAGTAAAAATATATAAAATACTTTAGAGTTTGGTCACTTGTGATTATAAATAAACTACAGAAATTTATAATTATATTCTTATGAAGTCTACTGATTTATTCTACCAGCTTATAAACAATATTAATTACTGAGTTTTTGATGGGTATTTGGAACAATGATGTCATAAAAGACTAATGTGTTTTAAAAGCCATCCCAAAGTGATTGTTTCTGAAAAAACTCTTAACCTACAATAACTTATCTGAATCTTAGGAGTGCTCTGATCAGGAAGTAACAGCGGTAACACTTCTGAGATTCCTTTAACCCAGGCATCCAGGAAATTTGGCCAAATCACAGGCCCAGAAGCCTGTCCTGTTTCAGTGTGAAGGAGTCACTCTCCCTCTACCATCCAGCCACCTCATGTCCATGGGTTCTGAGCCCACATTGTCACCTTTCTTGTTTTGGATTTGTAGATAGATTTATTGTATGATGTTTGCAGCTAGTTTTCTTTTTTTGGAAATTAAATAACTTATGAAGTATAAGTAATTAGTTTTCCTGGTGTTGTGTCTGGGGTCCCCAAGCCCTCTCTCAGGCTTGATGATTCACTAAAAGGATTCCAGAGTCAGGACTCAGAAGAGCTGTTGTACTCACAGTTATAGTTTGTTACTGCAAAAAGGATACAGATTAAAATGAGCAAAAGGAAGGGTGCATGGAGGAAAGTTTAAAAGAAACTAGGCCTAAGTTTCCAGTGTCTGTTGCTAGTGGAGTCACATGGGGACATGCTTAGCTCTCTTAGCAACAATGTGTGAAGAGTTGTCAATCAGGGCAGCTCATCCAACCCTTGGTGTCCAAGGTTTTTACTGGGGGCTAGTCACATGGGTATGCAATGCCTATGTGACTGATCTCAATTGCTTACATTCCGGTGCCACAGAGCAAAAAACAGGTGATCTCTGTAAGTCACATTGTTATCATAAACCATCTAGTCAAACTGGTACCACATGGTCCTTGGCCTCAGCTACACCAAAACACTTATCAGGCAGGATATTTCAAGGGCTCAGAGCTCAGTTTCTAGGAGAAGGACCAGTCCTGAAGGGACAGACCTTTCTTGGGAATTTGCAGGGTTTGAACAATCCAGGCCTAGTATGTTAGCCCATTACTGTCCAGGTTTCTTATCATGTTGCTTATTTTTTATATTACATTCTGATGAGATTCAGATCAGTAATTTTTAAAGGGATAAAAAGAAATAATGAAGAAATACCACATATCACATTGAAGATCCAATAGAAATTTCCCCAATTGAAGAGGCTAACAGAAAAGGCATCCATTTGATCCTCTTATGCACCGATGGAGAACCACTGGGCTACAGCTGAGTGGGCAAGCTGGTGACTGTGGGCCACATGAGACCTGTTACTTCCTTTGTGTTGCTCATGGGCTAAGAGTGGTTTTTGCAGTTTCAAATTGTTTTAAAAAATCAAAAGAAATAGTAATATTTTTGGCACATAAAAATTAGATGCAGTTTAAATTGCAGCATCCATAAATAAAGTTTTATTGGAACACAGCCATTGATTTAGGTATCTCCTGTAGCTACTTTTTGTACTACAATAGCAGAGTTGAGTATTTGCAACAGATTGAATGACCTGCAAAGACTCAAATGTTCACTCTTTGGCACTTTTAGGAAAAGCTTGCTGACCCCTGGGCTACCCCTCCAAGGGCTTCTCCCCATTGCAACCCCCTCCCTCTGCCTGTTCCCGACAGGGTGACAAAGTGTTACAATTACCTGTTGTGTGAGACTAATTTTGATAGTTTTTACTTTCGTTGGAGCATTACAGTTTACAATGGTGTTCTTGTTTCTTTGAATAAAATTTCCAGCTTTCATGAAAATATAAGTATTTCTTTATTTAAAAATATATTTAAATAAATGATTTTTATAATGAATGATGTTTTTAAACATAGTTCCTAAGAAACCAGAATCCACTGATGATGAAGAGAAAATTGAAAATGAAGAGAGTGATTTAGAAGAAGCTTGCATTTTGCCTCATAGTACGATAAATGTGGACAAAAGACCCATTACAATTAAATCACCCAAGGTGCAGTATTTTCTTTGATTCTGAGATTGAGTGACTGGAAACCACAGTACATGGCAAAGGAATCCATGAGTGTTGTACCTTTGTACTTGCACATCTCTAGGGTAGTGAGTGTAGTTGGTTGTTATTAAAGGGAAGCCCCAGTGATGTTTGATGAACTTGACTTATGGTGCCTTGGTCAGAGCCATAGTTGGAAAAGTATTTCTTTTTATTTTTGGTACTACATTGTATCATTATTTATTCACCATTCATTCATTGAATGTATCCTTTGTTGCAGAAACTCTACTAGTCACTGAAGCTATTAATGTGAACCATAACTTTGTATGCCAAGTTAGCTTGATTGAAAGTATATTTGCATAGAGATTATGAATTCAGTTATAAGGACAGCTATAGCATAGTTTTTTAAACCATATATTAGTTACTAAGTTTAACATACTTTACCACTTTAAACCTAGTGGCATTATTTATATTTATATTTGAATAACCGTTTTAGAGTGCAGGTTAATATTAATAGGGTAGGCTAATTTTGAAAATTATTTTCCTTTGTTAGGATAAATGGCAGCCACTGTTGAGTACAGTTACAGGTGTTCACAAATACAAGTGGTTGAAGCAGAATGTTCAGGGCCTTTATCCACAGTCTGCACTCCTCAGTACCATCGCTGAATTTGCCCTTAAAGAAGAGCCAGTGGATGTGGAAAAAATGAGAAAATGCCTACTAAAACAGGTAAAATTTGATGAGAACATGTTTCTTTTCCTTGGGTAATATGTACAACATTTAACTGTTAATATTTTGCAGTTGGAAAGAGCAGAAGTTCGCCTGGAAGGGATAGATACGATTTTAAAACTGGCAAGCAAAAATTTCTTACTTCCATCTGTGCAGTATGCTATGTTTTGTGGATGGCAAAGACTTATTCCTGAGGGAATTGATATAGGGTAAAACTTTATGTTTTTTTCTTAATTAATTAAGGAAGCTGTAGCAACAAAACATTGTTCTATTAAAGTTAAAAGTTTGCCATTGTCCCAAGTAAAATTTTTTTATCTTTTGTTTGAAAGGGAACCCCTTACAGATTGTTTACAGGATGTCGATTTGATCCCACCTTTTAATCGAATGCTGCTGGAAGTAACTTTTGGCAAACTGTATGCTTGGGCTGTTCAGAACATTCGAAATGTTTTGATGGATGCAAATGCCAAATTTAAAGAGCTTGGTGAGTTATTTTTTTTTTTTTCATAAACCTGATGGTTAAAAGACTATTAAAATTGATGTTGTAGTAATGTCAGTGATTGCATCACTATTACTTCAGAGCTTGGCCTTAGTTACATGTTGTGGAAACTTGCAAATGTCAGTTTTCGCTTTTGGGAAGACTAATAACTTTGTACATTTAGATTGATAATCTGTGCTGCTCTTAGTGTTCTAAGATTCTAAACACAACTGTAAAAATTTAGAAGACACAATCTTGAAGTACTCTAATAAAAAGCTTTTATATTTTTACATTTTTATGTATATCACACCATATACCTCAGAGTGTCTGTGTCCTATATTAGTATTTATTTCTGAATAGTTTGAGCTTCCATAGGGAAGTGCTAGGATTAATTTTGTGGAAGAAAAGTGAAACATAACTGTTACATTTGAAACAAAAGGAATGGAATGGGGCACCAGGGATATTTAGAGAGCAGTATGCTAAGTCTTACAGACAGATGGAGAGAGCCGTGCTTGGAGTACAGGTGGTAGGACCATTGCAAAGCATGACAGCGCTACCTGATGTCCACATTCTGAAATCCCCTGAAAAATAGAAGTTTAAAGTAATCTCCAATGCTTTCTGCATCATGTGTATTCTTGTATCCATGCACAAGAAATTTAAGTGGGCGCCAATGCTTATTAGGTATCCAGCCTGTTCCCCTGCAAACAATTACCAACGAGAACCCGTCAGGACCGAGCCTGGGAACGATCCCGCAAGCACGCTTCCTCCTGGTGATGCTCAGCATGCTCACCCTGCAGCATGGAGCAAACAACCTTGACCTCCTGCTCAACTCTGGCACACTCGCCCTCACGCAGACAGCACTGCGGCTGATTGGTATGTCGGCGCGGGCTTTAGGGCTTTACAAAAATGTTAAAATTTGCCTTCTCTCTCTCTTTCCTTCAAATTTTTTTTTAAATTGTGGTAATGTACAAATAATGTAAACTGTACCATTTTAAGTTTATAATTCAGTGATATTAAACACACACATTCATAATTTTGTGGAACTATCAGTGCTAACTAGTTCTAGAACTTTCATCACCCCAGATACACCCCATTTAGCAATCACTCCTCATTTCCCCTAACCTACAGTCCCTGGCAACCACAGGTCTGCTTTCTCTCTCCCTGAATTTGCATATTCTGGATATATTATTTAAATGGAATCATACAATTTGTGGCGTTTGTGTCTAGCTTATTTCATTTAGTATATATTGGTACTTTACTCTTCTTTACAGCTGAAAAATATTTCATTGTATGAATATACAACATTTTGTGTATCCGTTCACTTTTGGGTTGTTTCTACCTTTTGGGTTTTGTGAGTAGTGCTTCTGGGGTTATTTACATACAAATTTTGTTTGGACACCAGTTTCCAGTTTTGATTACGTACATAGGAGTGGAATTGCAGTGTAACTTGCTGAGAAACTACTAAACTTTTCCACAGTGCTGTACCATTTTACATTCCTACCCTCAGTGGACAAGGGTTCCAGTTTCTCTATATCTTCATCAACACTAGTTATTTTTTTTTTTTTTTTTTTTGAGACAGAGTCTCACTTTGTTGCCTAGGCTAGAGTGAGTGCCGTGGCGTCAGCCTAGCTCACAGCAACCTCAGACTCCTGGGCTCAAGCGATCCTTCTGTCTCAGCCTCCCAAGTAGCTGGGACTACAGGCATGCGCCACCATGCCCGGCTAATTTTTTTATATATATATCAGTTGGCCAATTAATTTCTTTCTATTTATAGTAGAGACGGGGTCTCGCTCTTGCTCAGGCTGGTTTTGAACTCCTGACCTTGAGCAATCCGCCCGCCTCGGCCTCCCAGAGAGCTAGGATTACAGGCGTGAGCCACCGCGCCCGGCCTATTTTTTGTTTTGATTAAGTCTATCCTAGCGGGTGTGTAGTGGTTTCTCATTGTGGTTTTTTTTTTTTTTTTTTTTAGCATTTCCAGGCTAGAGTGAGTGCCGTGGCGTTGAGCATTTTTACAAACTCCTGGGCTCGAGCGATCCTTCTGCCTCAGCCTCCCTGGTAGCTGGGACTACAGGCATGCGCCACCATGCCCGGCTAATTTTTTTATATATATATCAGTTGGCCAATTAATTTCTTTCTATTTATAGTAGAGACGGGGTCTCGCTCTTGCTCAGGCTGGTTTTGAACTCCTGACCTTGAGCAATCCGCCCGCCTCGGCCTCCCAAGAGCTAGGATTACAGGCGTGAGCCACAGCGCCCGGCCTCATTGTGGTTTTGATTAGCATTTCAGTGATGATGTCAGGCATTGAGCATTTTTACATATGCTTGTTGGCCATTTATATGTTTTCTTTAGAGAAATGTCTGTTCAAGTTCTTTGTCCATTTTTTAATTGAGTTATCTTTTTCTTGTTGAGTTATAGGATTACCAATAAATGTACCAAACATTTAAAGAAGAATTAACACCAATCCTCAAATTCTTTCATAACTATTTTGGGATATTAGACCTTTACTGATCTGTAGACATTTATCAGATCTATGATTAAGGAAGTTTTCTCCTATTCAGTGGGCTGTATTTTTTCTTGATGGACAAGAGTTTTTAATTTTGATAAAGTTCAGTGTATCTATTTTTGTTTTGTTTGAGCTTTTGGTGTCATATTTAAGAAACCATTTCCAAATCCAATATGTTTTCTTCTCTAAGTTTTACAGCTTTAGCTCTTACATATTTAGATCTTTGGTCCATTTTTAGGTAATTTTTTACATGGTATGATGTAAGAATGCAACTTTTTTCTTTTGGTTATCTGGTTGTCCTAATGCCATTTGTTGAAAGGCTGTTCTTTCCCCCAAGGTATTAGTACCCCTGGCAAAATCAGTTGGCCAGAGATACTTATTTAGGTTTATTTGTGAACTCTCAGTACCATCCTCTTGTTCTGTATGTGTCTGTCCATATGCCAGTACCATCCTGTTTTGAATATTGTAGCTTTTTAGTAAGTTTTAAAATTGAGAAATGTGTGTCTTCCAATTTTGTTTTTATTATTTTTCAAGGTTATTTTGGCTATTTTGAGTCCTTTGCATTCCATATGAATTTCAAGGCTGGCTTTTCCATATCTGCAAAAAAGGCCACTGAGATTTTGTTAGGGATTGTCTTAGATCTGCAGATTGCTTTGGGGAATATTGCCATCTTAATATTAACTTCCTTTCCATGAATTTGGGGTATCTAACCCAAACCAGCTTTGGGTTTTGTTGATTCTGTTATTCTTCTATTGTCTATTTTATTTACCTTTGCTCTAATCTTTATTATTTCCTTCTTTCTGCTAACTTTGGCTTTACTGTATTTTTATTTTTCTAATTCTGCATGCTTTTATAGGTAGGTATAAATATCCCTTTTGGCACTGCTTCTGCTGTACTACATAACTTTTGGTGTGTTACGTTTTGATTTGTCTCAGAGTATTTTCTGATTTCTCTTGTGATTTCTTCTTGACCCACTGGTTTATTGTGTGTTATTTAATTTCCACATAGTTATGAATTTTCCAGTTTTCATTTTGTTTTTAATTTCTATTCCATTTTGGCTGGAGAAGGCAATTTGTAGTCTATTTAAGTTTACAACTTATTTTGTAGCTTAACATATGCTCTGTCTTGGAGAATGAATGTTCTGGGTATACTTGAGAAAAATGTATATTCTCCTCCTTTTGGGTGGAGTGTTCTATTTATGTTTGATAAATCTAATTGGTTTATAGTGTTGTTCTTTGCCTGAAAATCTGAGGTGCTGCAGGGCCAGTGGTCAAAGTTCAAGTGAAAAAGCAAGGTCTTTTTATGCATCAGTCTTAGAGTACACATTGATCTGTTCAAAAACATGCATCAGGCTGGGAAACAATCAGCCTCTAAGAGTCATACACATACACCAATTTCTTAAGACTACATTAGCGACTAAAAATTGCTTTTAAAAATTACAAAGGTGAGGCAGGGCATGGTGGCTCATGCATGTAATTCCACATTTTGGGAGGCCAGGGTGGGAGGATCACTTGAGGGCAGGAGTTCAAGACCAGCCCTGGTTAACATGACAAGACCTCATCTACACACACACACACACACACACACACACACACAACCAGGTGTGCTGGTGTGTGCAGGGCATGGTGGCTCATGCATGTAATTCCACATTTTGGGAGGCCAGGGTGGGAGGATCACTTGAGGGCAGGAGTTCAAGACCAGCCCTGGTTAACATGACAAGACCTCATCTCCACACACACACACACACACACACACACACACACACACAACCAGGTGTGCTGGTGTGTGCCTGTAGTCCCAGCTACTCAGGAGGCTGAGGTGAGAGGACTGCTTGAGCCCAGGAATTTGAAGTTGCAATGAGCTATGGTTGATGCCATTGCACTCCAGCCTGAGTGACAGAGCAAGACTCTCCTTCTAAAAAGAAAAAAGAAATTCCACAGTGAGCCAGGCACAACGGTGCACACCTGTAATTCTAGCTACTTAGGAGACTGAGGTGAGAGGATCACTTGAGCCCAGGAGTTTAAGACCAGCCCAGACTACATAGTAAGAGCCTGAATCTACATAGATTCAGTAAGAGCCAGACTATATAGTAAGAGCCTGAATCTAAAAAAATAAAAGAAAAATTAGCTGGACATTTGGTGTGTGCCTGTAGTCCCAACTACTTGAGAAGCTGAGACAGGAGGATTGCTTGATCCCAGTAATTTGAGGCTGTAGTGAGCTATGATGACATCACTGCACTCCAGCCTGGGCGACAGAGCAAGATCTCATCTCTTTTTAAAAAAACTATGAAAGTATATCTCCATCTAGAAATTGCCTCTCTTTTTATGTTGTCTTCCTTTTTTTCTAGAGGCTCTAATAGGCAAAAGTCTCAGCACAAATCATTAATTATGGGGGCTTATTCTGTTAATAGTACTCACAAGTTTAAATTCCAGTGGACTCACTGGCTGCGAAAAGCAAGGGAGTTCTGTCTCATGAATATCTATCTGTATTTGTAACTTTTCCTGATAAGGATGATTTATCATTAAAGAAATTAAAAGAATATAATATTAACTTTATGTATCCTGATACAATAGCCACAAAATGTAAAGCTACCAAAAAATTTCCTTCTTTTTTTGTTTTCAAATTTATTCAAGCCCCTAGCAATAAATTTAGCTTTTATGGGGTTAATAGTACAACTGCCCTGGAGATCCTAGCTGGAACACAGCCCTGTCCCCTCCTGGGGGCCCTTGGCTAAGGCAGCAGCTGGGCTAAAGAAAAGGTTGTTTCTCCCCCAGTTTCTCTAAAGCTTTGCTCCAGCCCTGGGAATGGATTTGCCTTTTTTATTCTCTCTTAGAAGAGACAGGAACAGAAACTTTTTACATTTTTGGCCCACTGAAGCCCATCTTTGGAGCTATTTGGGCCCTTTTTCCTACTACTTGGAGGAGCAAACAAAAAAGTACATGGACTGCAGATTCTCCCCCTCAGTATAGCCAGCAAGGCCAAACTGCAGCACACCAGCCAGGGATCCAAAAGCCCTCTCTGCTGGGCTTAGAGCTACTATTTTTGAATCCACAGATAAATTTTACTTCTAACCGTTGACAGCAGCTCAGCTTACTTCATGGTATGGATGACTCTGTAGCCACCCAGCACTAAATATTCTTGCCCTGCCTTTCATTCTTCCTTTTCCCAGACAGTGCTTTTTTAGTGTTTCACGGGGTTTGGGATTGCTCTAGAGAACCCTGCTGCCTCACCTGTGTCAGGGTTCTCCAAGACCACCCCCCAGGATTGATGATTTGCCAGGAAGACTCACAAGTATAGTACTCAGGGCTGTGATTTATTACAGTGAACAGATACAGAGCAAAATCATCAAAGGAAAAAGGCACATGGGCAAAGTCCAGAGGAAGCCAGGCACAGACTTCTAGAGTCCTCCCAGTGGAGTCACACAGCACACACTTAATTGTTAAGCACGGAGTTTTGGCGGCACATGTGAAGTACTGTTTGCCAGGGAAGCAGGTTAGAGACTTGACATCCAGAGTTTTTACTGGGGCTGATCACATAGCTACCCTCTGCCTGGCACGTACCAAGTTCCAGACCCCAGAGGAAGGCAGGTTTCAGCATAGACCACGCCATTTGTACAGACAGATCAGGCACAGCAGGCCACATTTATCACCTAGGGCAGCAGTCTCCAACCTTTTTGGCAAGGACCAGGGTTGAGGGATAGTTTTGGGATGATTCAAGTACATTACATGAATCATTACTTGATGATTTATTGTACAGTCAGACCTCTCTGCTAATGATAATCTGTATTTGGAGCCACTCCCCAGCACTAGCATCACCGCCTCAGCACCACATCAGCTCATCAGGCATTAGATTCTCATAAGGAGCACATAACCTAGATCCCTCACATGCAGTTTATAGTAGGGTTCGTGCTCCTATGAGAATCTAATGTCATTGCTGATCTGATAGGAGGTGGAGCTCAGGCAGTGATGTGAGCGATGGGGAGTGGCTGTAAATATGGTTGAAGCTTCACTCACTCACCCACCACTCACCTCCTGCTGTGCAGCCCAGTTCCTAACAGCTCACGGACCAGTACCAGTCCTCCACTTGGGGTTTAGAGACCACAGACCTAGGGATCAAGGGATCCTTCCTGAAATCCAGGTTCTCAGATGCCCGCCAGGGGCCGATCCTGCAGCTGGCCTGTCTGAGAACACGTCTCAGACTGAGGGCTAGCTCTGTTCTAGTGTTTGTTAATTTCCCATTGTTTAACATTTAGGGTGGTTATCTTTGTTTTTCTATTATAAAAAATGTGATGAACATCTTCCTAACTTGGTCATTTTGGTCTTTCAGAGGGAATAATTTCAAAAGTAGAGCAAATACCTTTTCTGAGCATTTTTTAATCTTCTGAGCATATTTATGTATTTTGTCCTTCCCCATACCTTCTTTGTATTCTAGATCTAATCAGTAAAATTTTCAGTGTTTATTGTATTAATTAATTAAAAAATATAGGACAGGCTCTTTAAAATTACTGTCTTTATCAGTACCTATTGATTTTTGTATGTGTATTAAAAAATAGGACATCGTAGCTACTTATTGACTCAGCTGTTATTTTTGCTGTGCTGACAGGTCCGAGTTGTGACAATGTTGAGGAAGATATGAATGCTTCTGCACGAGGAGCCTCTGCCACAGTTTTGGAAGAAACAAGGAAGGAAACGACTCCTGTGCAACTCCCTGTTTCAGGGCCAGAATTGGCTGCCATGATGAAAATTGGGACCAGGGTCATGAGAGGTGTGGACTGGAAATGGGGTGATCAGGTACTCAGCGATTTGATTTGAACATGTTAGTCACCTTCTGTACATCTTGATTGATGTAGTATTGGGGGGGGTGGAAATTGGAAAAATTAACTAAGGACATATGCCATCGATAGATGACATAGTTGTTGATTCCTGAGCTGCTGAATAGAATCAAAACCAATAGGAAGTAATGGCAGCCTGCCAAGAGTAGCAGCTATTTTCAGATAACTCATTGGCGTGAGGCTCAATTTGATGTGCAGATGGGACAAGAGTGAGAGTGAGCAAGAGAGAGTAAATCTCATTCTGAATGATAGAGCTGTGAAAGCTCTGAGGCCAGGGGCTCAGATGCTGCCACTGTAAGCTGTTGGCTATGGGCTATGAAGTTTACCCAGCAGTTCTGGGGATACCCATTGGGTGGGTGGCCATCTCTCCATTTTCCTCATAGCATGCTGTCTCCAAATCTGTGCTGGGTGCTTCAGGTGGAGTTGCTTACCACAGCCCCAGCTAAGTTAGTGTAGTGTTCACCTTCCCATGGCTCTGTCTGGGTTTTCTCAGCCACACTGTCAAGCAGGGGCTTTGTTACAGTCCTCTTAGAAATGAAAGTGTCTGGGGACAGGGAGCAGCATTTTATAAATTGCTTTCTCCCATAGAAAGGAGAGATAGAGCTTTCGCTCTGGGGCCCAGGAGGCAAACAGAAGCAGGAATGTGGGGGTGCTGTTGCCTGTCTTGGGTTTGTGCTGTGGTGAAGCCCTGTGAGGGCTTGAGAGGCAAGGATGAGCCTGCCAGGACCACGGTGGGAGGGCATGTCTGGCATTTGCTCAGAGAGGATCCTCACTGAAATAATACTTCCGCTTACTAATTTCTGTGGTAAAGGAGCATGAGAACGTTATTTCATGTCATTTAATTGATGTGAATTGTACATTTTGCAGGTAGGTTTGGGACCATTCTGTTAACATGAAATCTGTGTACAGTGACATGGCCCTCTTTACAGGGAGGGGGCAGATGAAGTCATTTGTGTGGCAGGTCTCTGGTGGGTATGATGGAGGGACCAGGGCAGGACACACACCCTCTTAATGGATCTTTATTTTGGCTTTCTCAGGATGGGCCTCCTCCAGGCCTAGGCCGAGTGATTGGTGAGCTGGGAGAGGACGGGTGGATAAGGGTCCAGTGGGACACGGGCAGCACCAACTCGTACAGGATGGGGAAAGAAGGAAAGTACGACCTCAAGCTGGCGGAGCTGCCAGCCTCTGCACAGCCGTCGGCGGAGGACTCGGACACAGAAGATGACTCAGGTGGGTGATTCATGGAGGCATTTAGTCCAAGGCAGTGAATGGATTGTCCAAAACAGTGTGTCAGGGCTCTTCTGCAGACAGTGCTCAGCCCTCTGAGCCTGCAGGTGACACTAATCGATGCAGGTGTACAAAGAGGCTCTGGGTTGCAGCAACCCTGCTGGAACTAACTTCTTGCATTTTCCCTCCATTGCTGCTCCACCTTTGAGAGTGTGATGGTGAGGCAATGTGCACCTTCACCTCTGTTGGGTCTTGTATGCTTGTCACTGAGTTGAGTCAAAGGGAGTGAGCCAGGGCCTGGTGGAAGGCTGTACCTCCTT